AAAAAAAAAAAAAAACACCGAAAACAAAAAACAACAAAAAAACATGGGGTCTTTCTATGTTTCCCAGGCTGGTCTTGAACTTCTGGGCTCAAGTGATCCTCCTGCCTTGGCCTCCCAAAGTGCTGGGATCACAGGTGTGAGCCGCCACAGCCAGCCTATCTTTGCCTTTTCTATAAAGTAACTAAGACTCTATAAGGCAACTAAGAAAGTTGCCTAGGTCATACACCTAGGAAGTGGTGGAGATGGAACTCTACCCTGATCCTCTGTCACCTGATTTTGTTTCCCAGAGTCAGTCTTTTTTTGGAGACAGTCTTGCTCTGTTGCCCAGGCTGGAATGCAGTGGTGCAATCATGGCTCACTGCAGCTTTGGACTCCCTGGCTCAAGGAGTCCTCCCACCTCAGCCTTCCCAGTAGCTGGGACAGTAAGCATGTACCACCATGCCTGGCTAATTTTTGTATTTTTTGTAGACACAAAGTCTTGCTATGTTGCCCAGGCTGGTCTTGAATTCCTGGCCTCAAGCAATCCTCCTGCCTCGGCCTCCCAAAGTGTTGGGATTACAGGCATGAGCCACTGTGCCAGACTCGAGAGTCATTCTTACTTGTACTTTAAAAATAATATTTTTTTTCTAATTGTAAAAATAATACATGTTCATTGGAAAACATGTAAACAGAGAAGCACAAATAAGAAAACTAAAATCATTAGTATTTTCACTGTACAGAAATACCCAGCAATAGGCCGGCTGTTGTGGCTCACTTCTATAATCCCAGCACTTTGGGAGGCCGAGGCAGGCAGATCACTTGAGGTCAGGAGTTCAAGACCAGCCTAGCCAACATGATGAAACCCTGCCTCTACTAAAAATACAAAATTAGCTGGCATGGTGGCGCACGCCTATAATCCTAGCTACTCGGGAGGCTGAGGCAGGAGAATCACTTGAACCCATGAGATGGAGGTTGCAGTGAGCCAAGATCACACCACTGCATTCTAGCCTGGACAACAGAGCAAGACTCTGTCTCAAAAAAAAAAAGAAAAGAAATACCCAGAAATAAAGAAAAATGTAAAATGTGACAAAAATAAAATGGAATCAAGCTGTAGATATTTTGTATCCTGGTTTTTTTCACTGATCAATATATCATAAAAATTTATGTATGTGCTTAGTCTTCCAAAACAATATTTTTAGCACTGAAATTCCTCCTGAAAAATTTTAGGTCACTTCTAGTTTTTATAACTTGAGTAGTACGTTTAAAATAAGTATGGAGGCCAGGCGTGGTGGCTCACACCTGTAATCCCAGCACTTTAGGAGGCTGAGGCAGGTGGATCGTCTGAGGTCCGGAGTTCAAGACAAGCCTGGCTAACATGGTGAAACCCCGTCTCTACTAAAAACACAAAAAACAGCCGGGCATGGTGGTGTGCGCCTGTAATCCCAGCTACTCGGGAGGCTGAGGCAGGAGAATCGGTTGAACCTGGGAGGTGGAGGTTGCAGTGAACTGAGATTGTGCCACTGCACTCCAGCCTGGGTGACAGAGTGAGACTCCATCTCAAAAAATAAAAAATAAAACAAAATAAAATAAATAAAATACAGTGTCAAAAACTAAGAAAGTATAGTATAGATAAGCCTCAAAATCTTCACCTGTCTTTTATAATTCCTGTTAGTATTTTGGTGTATATATATAAAAAAAAGTAAATATATAAATATATAAAATATATGCAAATACATATAAATATATGTAAATATATGTAAATACATATATATGTAAATACATATAAATATATATGTAAATATATAAAAAAATATATATTTGAAGGCATTTTCACACACATCAGAGACTCTTCTACGAGAGGGACTTCTGCTGATCAGGTGGACACCTTTGGGGTCACAGGGAAGGAAAATAACAAGGAGGTTACAACAATGGATGGATACTGTAGGTGGTTCAGGGTAGACCTGGGTGTCTGACTTCTATCCCCACTCCCTTCTTTCAATGGCAGAGTGTTCAGTGGAATTGTTTATTATTCTGCTAGGGCTAGGTTTAAGTCTGAGAGCCAGGTGACAATCGCACATGACTTAAATTATCCTTGAAAACTGCTCAGGAAGGCACCTTTTTGGAGACAGACATACACAGCAAGTTTTCCTCCATTGATGGAACATATCACATTTCTCTGACCGTGCATTAAAGGAAGTGGTTGGTTATGTTTAGGCACCATTTTTTTTTGGTGAAAAATAAATATCTTTCCATAGTGGAATCACGCAGTGCAATGTGATGTCTTCACTGCCAGAAGCTTTCCCTGCACAGGAAATAATCCATTTCCCATCTCCCACTCATTCAGACACTGGCTCAAGGAGGGATTTTTCTGGCTTATTTGGACTGTTATTGTGCATATTTGCAAAACATATATCTGACAAAAGACTCATATCCACAATATATAAATAACTCCTACAAATAAATAAGAAAAGAGAAAAAACAACTCAATAACAGAATGGGCAAATATTTAAACGACATTTTACAAATGAAAATATGTAAGCGGCCAATAAGTTTGTGAAAAGATGTTCAATATCATTAGTATATCAGGAGAATGCAAAATAAAATCACAATGAGATACTACCATACACACTCACTAGAATAATTAAAGTGAAAAAGACTGACCATAGCAAGGTTGGTAAGGATATGGGGCAACTGGAATGCTGATACATTGCTGGTGGGACTGTAACATGGAGAATCACTCTGCAACTGGAAAAACAGGTGCATAATTACTTATAAAATTAAATAGACATATGTTGGCTGGGCAGGGTGGCTCATGCCTGTAATCCCAGCACTCTGGGGGCAGAGACGGGCAGATCACTCGAGGTTAGGCGTTTGAGACCAGCCTGCAACATGGCGAAACCCCGTCTCTACTAAAACAATACCAAAATTAGCTGGGCGTGGTGGCGCGTGCCTCTAATTCCAGCTACTTGGGAGGCCGAGGCTGGGGAATTTGCTTGAATCCGGGAGGCGGAGGTTGCAGTGAGTCAAGATGGCGCCAGTGCACTCTAGCCTGGGCGACAGAGTGAGACTCCGTTTCAAACAAACAGACAAACAAACAAACAAACAAAATTAAATAGACATATATCTATACAAAGACTTCTCTATCCTTCCCTGTGACCCCAAAGGTGTTTGGGGTAGAGCTGTTTGTTGCAGCTTTATTTGTAATAACCCATAAATGGCAATAGCCCAAATGTTCAACAGGTAAATGGATAAGTTGAGTTATATCCATACAATAGGCTACTCAATAAATAGTGATAATTTACCAATACACACAACATAAATTAATTTCAAAAACACTATGTTAAGTGAAATAAGTCAGACACAAATACACG